AAAAAAAAAAAAAAAAAAAAAAAAATCTGCCAAACTATTTTCCAGAGCTGCTCTACATTTTACTTTCCTAGCAGTGTGAGGGAGTCCCTATGTCCCACATCTTTGCCAAAACTTGCTATGTGATATTTTGGATCTAGTTATGTTTTATTTGGGATGTCATGTCTCATTATGGTTTTGATTTGCTTTTCCCTGATGATTAATGATGTTGAGTTCTTTCATGTGCTTATTGGCCATGATTTTTGGAGAAATGTCCATCCAAATGTTTTGCTCATGTTTTAATTGGGCCATTTGTCTCTTTGTTGAGTTGTAAGAATTCTTTATATAGTCTAGATACAAGTCCCTTATCAGGTTGTCTTTTTGTGTGATTGTTTCCTTTAAACACAAACATTGTTAATTTGGTAATGGTCCATTTTATTCAGTTTTTCTTTAGTTTCTGCTTTTGGGTTTTTTCTCATTCGTTCGTTCATTCATTCATTCATTTATATTGTGTGTGTGTGTGTTGAGGTAGGGGTCTCACTTTAGTTCAGATTGGCCTTGAACTCACTGTGTAGCCCAGGCTGTGTTCAAACTCATGGCAATCTTCCTGCCTCATCCTCCTGAGTGGTATTACAGGCATGTGCCACCACACCCAACATTATTTTTGGTATTATCCAAAATTCCTTTGCCAAATTTAGGATTCTAAAATTGTACTCTTATTTTTCTTTTAAGAGATTTATATTTTTTCTTTTCCATTTAAATCTTTGATCAATTTGTAGGGTTTACTTTTTGTTTGTTTCATTTTGTTTTTGTTCTTTTGAGATGGGGTTTTGCTATATATTTCAGGCTGGCCTTGAACTCACTATGTAGCCCATAAACTGGTCTTAAACTTGCAGTGATCATCCTGCCTTAGCCTCTTGAGTATTGGGAATACAGGTGTGTACTACCACTCCTGGTTGGAGTTAGCTTTTTTTATGGTCTGGTAACCTCATTATCCAACCTTGTTTGGATGGTACTGGGGTTGAAACCAAGGCTTTCACACTGATCAACAGCCCATCCCCTTTATTTTATTTTTTATTTTTTTGGTACTGGGGATCAAACTTGGGTCCTTGGGCTTGCGAGGCAGGCGCTGGAACCACTGAGCTAAATCCCCGGCCCCAGCCCCTTTATTTTTTAATACAGGGTTTTGCTAAGTTGTTCGGCTTGAATTTAATTCTCCTTGCCTCAACCTCCCTGAGTGATGGGATTACAGACATGCATCATGCTCTGCTAAACTTTGTTTGAGGCAAGCGCTGAAACCACTGAGCCAAATCTCCAGCCCCTGCTAAACTTTATTTGAAAAGATCCTATTAAATAATATTTGTACTCTTTCTAAAAATCACTTGACCATAAATGTATGGGTTGATTTCTGAACTATTTTTTTATTGATCTATGTTTGCCTTCATACTGATGATGATGTGTCGAATATTTTTGTATTTGTAGTAAGTTCTAAGATTGGGAAATGTAATTTCTCCTACTTTATTGTTTGTTTGGATTATTTTGGCTAATGTAGGTAATTTTCAATTTGGTATGAATTTTAAAATTGACTTTTCAGTGTCTACAAAGAAATCCACAGGAGTTCTAATTATGATTGCATTGCCTCTGTAGATAGGTTTGGAGGGCATTGCCACCTCCTATTAATATTGAGACTTGTAATCATTAAAGTCTTTGATTTGTGTTTCCTATAGGACTTCTCTCTCATTGCCAGAGTATTGGAGTGAAGCCTGTCACAAATCTCTGAACGTAAAATTCAAATTTCAAAATTAGTAAAGGAAAGCAGTCCTGTCTTGGAATCCATTTGGGATCATTAGTTTCTTCAAATAACAAATGCAGTCATTTTTATCACCTCCCTTTAGTATTGGGGATTGAACACAGGACCTTTGCACTGATGCACTTCCCCAATCCTTTTTTTTTAATTTTTAAAATTTTGAGACAAGATCTTGCTAAGTCACTTACTTGCCCAGGCTGGGCTCAGACTTATGATCCTCCTGCTTCAGGCCCTCACAGTGCTGGGATTACCACCCCATGCCCCACATTTGGCAGGGGTTGTTTTCTTAATTTCATTTTTGGATTCCTTCTTGCAAGTGCATAGAAATATATGATTTTTGTATATTAGTTTTGGATCCTGCAATTTTGTTAATCTCATTACTTCTACGTTTTTCAGTATATTCCTTAATATTTCTATATACTTATATTTTTATATCATCTCTGAATAGAGATGGGTTTACTCCTTTCAACATCAGTTTTCTAGCTTAGATGTAACAAAGTACCACAGACTGGGTATCTGAAAGTCTCAGAAATGTATTCTCTTACAGTTCTGGAGTCTAGAAGTCCAAAACAATATGTGAAATAGTGTTGGTTCTTTCTGGAGCCTGAGGGAGAATCCTTCTGGTGTTTCTGGGGCTGCCTGGTCATTCCTTGCCTTGAGGCACTATAGCTTCAGCCTGTCCTCATTGCCACTGGGTGTTCTCCCTGAGCTGCCCCTGTGTCTTTTAAGGACACCAGCTATACTGGATTTGGGCCAACACCAATCCAGTATTAGGGCAGGAGAAAGAAATATAGGTAAAAGGGAGACAAGGAAATTCATAATTTTAAAATTGTACTTTAAAAACATTACAATTTAAGTCCGAGTGTGGTGGCAAATGTCTGTAGTCTTAGCACTCTGGGAAGCTGAGGCAGGGGTATTGAAAGTTGTGCCCAGCCCGAGCAACGTAGCAATTTAGCAAAATCTTGTTTCAGCATAAAATAGGGTTAGTTAGGGATATAGCTCAGTGTAAAGCCCCTGGATTCCCTTTCAATGTTTCCACAGTGTACAATAAATACAAAGCTTTCAGTAAATATTAATTTATTTACTGGTAGAGGCCACGATTTGGGGTTTTGTTTTTGCTAGTTTTTTCTTTCACATCTTTCTTTTTTCTTCCTTTTTTTAGTGCATATTGGTTATACAGATTAATGAGTTTCATTTTGGCAGATTTGTACATACATATAACATGCTTTAATCATCATCCCACATCAGTTTAAAGTCACCTAGTAGTGTAAAAAATCCTGATGGTTTTCATTGGATAAGAACTGGCAGTAGATTTGCCTAGGGTAGAAAGATTATGAATCTGGAGAACTATGGATAATTAACTGTATATAGCATATGATTAGAATTATAATTTGCATATAAGCAAAAGGTAAAATCAAGAGAAAGACAAAAGAATTTAACTTTTATTTCTGTGCTTATTTCTGAAATCTTATGAATACTTTCAAGTTAAGAAAAAAGTTTTAAATTAATTTTAAAAAGTTTTATTATTGTTAACTAAAAAATACAGAAAGTCCAGTAAGGTATAGTGCTTTTTGAGAAAAGGACCATACGATCAGGGAAAATACTTAACATAGTATCTTTCCTCTTTTAGGAAATGACCACAGGTGAACATACCCAGGATGAAGCAGGTAACTATTTACAGGGAAGCTGCTAGAACTGCTTGGTTAGCACCAGCACAATGCTCTCACAGTGGGACAGTTAGAGAATGAATCAGTTTGCAGGAACATTCGGTAAAAAGAGCCAGCTGTTGATTAAATTGTCTCTGTGTTAAACCTAGTATATTAGTCACCTTCCCATTGCTGGGACCAAAATACCTGAGGCTTATAACTGATAGGAGGAAAGATTTATTAAGGCTGGAGCTTCAGTCTGTGATGGGCTGACTCCAGGACAGAATCGTTGTGGTGGAGAGGCATGGCAGAAGAAAGCAGAGTCAGAAGAGCCAGGTGGGGAAGAGGCTGGGGGCAAAAACAAACACACCCTTTCAGATCACATCCAGTGACTCATCTCCTCTAGTCAGGCCCCACCTCCTATCAACACATTGAGCTGTGAGCTCATCAGTGACTGAATCCACTGATGAGTGCAGCACCTCATGATCCAGTCACCTTCCAAAAGCACTTGATATGAAGGTGAACTGAGTTAAATGTATAATTAAGTATTTGTTAAGCATTTCTTAAGTGTTTTCAGTGAGTAAAAATAGCCAAGAGTAAAAGTGATGCTTTTTAAATTAGTAGTATGTGTGTGTGTGTGTGTGTGTGTGTATGCTGAATGAAACACTACATTAGTAAGGACATAGAATACAGAGAATAGTGACATCATTATTAGAAGAAAAACACCTGAGTTAAGAATCTGTTTTAGGTAAACCCATTTCCATACCCCTTCATCTGTTTCAATGTTGGTGTGTTTCTTCACAAGGTACCAGTGATGGGAGTACAGAAGCTGCCATAACCTTACTTACAATGGGAGATCTAGTGCTGCAGTCGGGGATGAGTACTGAACAGGGTGATGGTAAGAATGGAAGATAAGTCCTGCCCAAGAGAAACTTTTTAACTATTAAGAAATCATGTCCAGGGCCGGGGATTTAGCTCAGTTGTTCCGCCTCCTGCCTCGCAAGCACAAGGACCTGAGTGTGATCCCTGGTCCCAAAACCAAAAAAAAAAAAACAAAACAAAAAAAAGAAATTATGTCCACACATTGAATAATAAGCCTTTTATGTTTGAAATTATCATCACTATTGTTTTTCTAGAAGAGGTAATATTTGTGTATGATTCACCCATTATTTTAGCTCTGTTAGGTGTAGTGGCAACCATTTTGAGATAGTGAACATGGTTTATTAAGAATTTATATTCATGGAATAGTTGATTAGTGAATTTTCTATCTTATAAACATCAGTGGTTAATTGAGCTCAGTGATTATTGACCATTTTATGTTTCTTTAGCAAAGGAGTTGCTGCTTGAAATCATGACAGATACTCTCTGAAGGGTAGTAGGAACCATGAAATAAGCTGTTCTAATAGTTTGGACAGAGCTAAAAAAGATATGGCATATATTTGAATGAAGTAGAAGCTGGTTCTTACTATTATCTGCATTGGTTGGATAATTAGGCTTACTGTACAATTGACTGGTAGTGACTGACGTGTCATGTTGTTATCCATTTTAGTTGTTAGACCTTTTTTACTTTTTTGGCACAGTGCTAAGGGTTGAACCCAGGGCCTCACACACACACATGCTGGGCAAATGCCTTCCCACCCCCAAGCCACATCCCTATCCCTCATTATTAGACTTTAAATTTGTAGCCATGTATATAAAGAAAGTCTCTGATTTGTGTCCTGTATCAGGCTGCTTTCTCAGTAAGAGTCTCAGTAAAGCCTGTCACAGATCTCTAGAAGATAAAGCACAGCCTTAAAAAATTTGTAAAAATTAGTAACTAAAGGCAGTCCTATCTTTTTTTGGGGGGGTACGGGGGATCAGGGATTGAACTCGGGTCCCTGCACTTGCAAGGCAGGCGGTGGAAGGCAGTCCTATCTTGAAATCTAGGGTTGTATAGTTCCTGTAAGTAACAAAGGGAGTCATTTTTACCTTTTTAATTTATTTTTTAAATACTCCTTTTGGTACAAAGAAAGGAACCCAGAGCCTTTTCCCTTATCTACATCTCCAGCCTTTTTTATTTTGAGACAGGGTCTTGCCAACTTGCTCAGGCTGGATTTGAACTTGCAATCCTCCTGTGTCAGTTTCCTACAGTACTGAGATTACAAGGCACACATCACCATGCCCAGCTTCATTTTTACTTATAATAACACGGGGTTTCAGTCTTAAGAATCAAGCTCATTACAGGCCAAATTCAAAATATAAAAAATGACTTTAGCCGGGCATGGTGGTGCATGCCTATAATCCCAGCACTCGGGAGGCTAAGGCAGCCTGAGCTACATAGTTCCAAGTCAGTCTCAACTACATAGTGAGACCCTGTCTCAAAAAACCAAAAGAAAAAAAAAAAGACTTTATATACAGTATTTAAATTTGGAACCAAAAAAGAACAAACTTTAATAATACAGAATGTTGCAGTTATTAAATGTTGAAGAATTGATTTTATTTGGATGTCTATTTATATTGGCTCAATTTTAATTTCCTATTTTTTTCTGCAGTAGGACTATGTGTATTTCCTGATGTTCATTCAAAGGATAAAAGTCATATTCCTTTTAGCCCAGATAATATAAGTCACAAAATTGTTCATGAATGTCAAGAGCTTTCTTCACCTGTCATTACTACATCTCCTGCATCTGAAGAAGACAAGTATGTATCAGAGAAACAGAATAGAGAGGAGGTTGGATTAAAGGAGAAAATAATGGAGAACACTACATCAACCAGGTTAATTTTAGTAGTCAATTAATAAATATAGTTGGTCCTATATCTTTAGTCTGTAGCTTTGGTAGGCAAAGCTAATTTCTTATACATTAAATTCAGGATTCACTTATTTAGATTTTAATGGGTTAATGGTTTGCATATTAAAATTATACAGTGGTACCTCAATTCATGAACTTGATTCTTTCCACGATGCTGGTCACAAACCAAGTTGGATGAACACTAACTCAAATTCAATGGTTAGGTTCAGTGTTAACCAGGAAAATTTGATTCTGTTCTTGTCCAGTTTCGTTTGTGAACAGAATAGTGAAGAGAATTAAGTGTGTGAACTGAGGAACCAGTGTACTCTGTTTCATATGTCTTTGAAGCTTAATGCAGTAGATTTATATAAGTGTATAATTTCATAAATATGGTTTAGAATTTCTTCTCAAGACATCCAGTAAAGTTATTAGTTATTTTAGCATTGAATACTTAAAAAAAAAAAAAGAAAGAAATGAATGAATACTTAGCTGGCCATAGTGGCACATACCTATAATCCCAGCACACTGGGAGGCTGAGGCAGAAGAATCCCAAGTTTGAACCCAGCCTGGGCCATTTAGGGATTTAGTTGCCCCATCTCAAAAATAAATAAAGCGGGGAAAAAATGAGAACCAAGACCTGTCATGTAAAGGTACAAGATCCCAATAATGAATGTAACTGTACTGTATACCTAAAATGTACCAATAAACTCAATGAGGGAAAAAAGCAAGCAAGCAAGCAAGCAATCACCAGGCATATAGCTTAGTGCAACAGCCCTGGGTTCAGTCCCCAGTGGTGAGGAAAAAGATAAAAACAAAAAACACCTTGGGGCTGTGTGTGTAGCTGATTGGCAAAGAAATAAACATTCATGGACAGTGTGGTCCATGATGGGCAGCACAGGAATGTATCAATGTTAAAAGAATTTTTTATTTTTAGAATGAAAGAATTCTTGCATAATTGCTAAATCTCTCTTGTTTCTTCCCTTCTAGGAGTACAGCTTCTAAAGTGGACAGTAGTTTGCAAATTACAAGTAGATTTGTCAGGCCTGAGCCAGATCTTCAGGTATTAGTGACCAGCAGGGTTGGTGCTCACCAGGAAGTTTGTGGTGTATCCAGAGGGGAAAAAGTGGAAAGTCAAAAAGGTAAATTTTACTGTTTTTAGAAGTTACAAATTACTTTGGCATAAGAAATTGCATTTGCATTTCAAGAAAACATTCAGTTGTTAAAATTATTTTTAATTACTGTAGAAAGTTTCTGAAAAAGTAAAATAAGCTATAAAATAAAATACATCCAACAACTGATTTTAGTAATTGGTACATTTTGTTGTATTTGCTGTATTTTTACTGTGTATATGCTGATGTATGTGTATACTTGAATTCTCTAGCATATGTCTCTTATCAAAGTGTATATGTAGTATCTGTGGCAAATAGTAGGTTAGTGCCCATAAGGCACGGAATTACAAACAAAACCTCTTCGCCCTTAGTCTGCAGCCTCCTTGTCTCACAAGTAGTGGTGAACTGCTATTAATGGTCTTTTTTTGGGGGGGTATTAGGGATTAAATTTAAGGTCTTTGTATTCATTCATATCCCCAGCCCTTTTTATTTTTATTGTATACTTCCAAAAACATTTTATACACATGTAAGCAACTAAATGAGGCATGTATGTACATATAGCATGCATACATTCACATTTATATAAACACGTGTTTGTGTATGTGTATTTCCTTTGGAAAGAATGAATATGTACACATGCTATAGCATACATAATGTTCAGTATCAGTTTTGTAATTGCACTGACAAGTGACCATAGTTCATGGTGATATATTGTACAGTATTCTTAAAATGTAGAGAGAATAGATACTATGTGTTTACCACAAAAATGCTAACCGTTGAATTAATATATTTGTTAATTTAACTAGATGTAACCGTTCCAAAATGTATATACAGCCATACTTTGGTATTGCTTTGAAACTCATGGAATTGGTGAATTTCAATGTGACGTTTTGCCCTGGCACTTAATTGCTTGTTTGGTACTTGCTGTGCAAGCAGGAAGCTGTTAGAGTCCATTGCCTCATACTGCTACCCTTTCTAGTCAACACAGCTTGTTTGGTATTTGCTGTTTTTGATGCTCATCATGCCTCCCAGAAACCAATGAATAAGAAGTGAGTAGCCAAGTGTGGTGGCACATGTGTGTTAGCCCAGCCCTCAAGAAGGCTGAGGCAGGAGTATCTTTAAATTGAGCACAGTTGGGCAATTTAGCATCATACCAAGACCTTGTCTCAAAATAAAAGATAAAAAAGAGATGAGGATGTAGCTTAGTGCAGAATCCCTGGGTTCAATATTCAGTTACCCCTCCAAGAATATTTACGTATACATACATATTTATTGTATTTTATTTTTTAGATAAGATGCCATTATGTAGTTCAGGCTGGCCTTGAACTCACTACATAGCCCAGGCTGGCCTTGAACTCACAGCAATCCTCCTGCCTCAGCTTCTTGAGTGCTGGGATTATAGACATACACCACCATGTCTGGCTGCTATGTATCCATTTTTATGTGGCATATATTTTCATTTCTCTAGAGCTTATACCTACAGGTTTAATTGCTTGGTCATATGATAATTCGTTTTAACCTTCTTTGGGAGTGTTTTGCATTCAACCCAGGGCCTCATGCAGGCTAAATGCCTGCCACAGAAGTACATTGTTTACCCTATTGAGGAGCTATCAAACTCTTTTATTTATTTATTTATGTATGTATGTATGTATGTAGGTAGGTAGGTACCAGGGATCGAACTTGGGTCCCTGCACTTGGAAGGCAGATGGCGGAACCACTGAGCTAAATCCCAAACTGTTTTAAATATGTACAGTCTTATTTTTATGTATCAGTTAAATAAAATGTTAGGCAGGAGGATCACAAGTTCAAGCCTTATCTGGGAAACCTAGTGAGACCCTGCTGAAAGGAGAGTGGAGGAGGGAGGGAGATAAAAAAAGGAGAAAAGGAAAGGAAGGGAGAGGTAATAGTGCCCCTGGGTTCAGACCCCAGTACCATAAATTGAAAAAAGGGATATTGGCACCAGTTGTGTTCTCACTAATAATCTGAGTTTCAGTTTCTCTATATCTTTACTTTGTGTGTGTGTGTGTGTGTGTGTGTGTGTGTGTGTCCTTTTGATGATTAGAGTTATCTTGGTGTGAAGATGTATTTCATTGTGGTGGAGCTTCTTGTTTTATTATTTTATTATTATTTCTGTGGTACTGCAGATTAAACCCAGCAGTGCCCTCCCACTGAGCTATATCCCAGGCGCCAGTCCTGTTTTTGTTTGTTTTTTATTTTAAGACAGGATCTCATTAAGTTTCCCAAGCTGCCTTCCAACTTCTGGTTCTCCTGCCTCAGCTTGTTGAGTAACTGGAATTATAGGTGTGTACCATTGCTCCCAGCTCATTGTGGTTTTCATTTGTATTCTCCTAAGAGAATATCTTGTAATGTGCTCATTTTTAGAAAAATATCATCTTTAGAAAAATAGCTCTTGAAATCTTTTTTTTTTTTAATTGGTTTGTCTTTTTATTATTGAGGTAAATGTTTTAGTTCATGGTCCTGGGTTTAGTTCTCAGCACCTGAAAAAAAATTTAATATATTGTACCTTCTGGATTTTGTTTTGTTGTTTTTGTCTTGCAGTGTTGGGCATTGAGCCCAGGGGGCTCATTCATGCAAGGCGGTTGCTCCACCACTACACTACATCCCTAGCCCTCCACCTACTTATTAGTGGTTGCTTTCATTTTTTGATTTTGGTTTGTTTGTTTTGGTACTAAGAATTGAACTCAGGACCTTGCACTTGCGAGGCAGGCACAGTACCACTGAGCTAAATCCTTGGCCCTCTTTCTTTCTTTCTTTTCTTTCTTTTTTTTTTTTTTTTTTTTTTGGTACCAGGGATTGAATTTGGGACCTTCTGCTCGTGAGGCAGGCGGCAGCACCACTGAGCTAAATCCCTGGCCCCTCTTTCATTTTTTTAATGGTCTCACTGTATTGTGATATAAAGTTGGTCCTTAGTCCTGCTTGCTTTTCTACCCCACCTTCTTGGCTGAGTGCCCAACCCCCTTGGGTGATAGTAAGGGCAGGGAAAGCTGTGCAAAACGTTGGCTGTCAGAATGAATTGAACTCATGCTTAGAAAACCAGGATAGTTAGAATCATCTTTTGCTTGTTTTACCTTTTCTTGTTTCTAGGATTCCCTTTGAGCCAGCAATGCCTATGGTACCATGGGCACATGCAGTTTGTTGACTATTATGCTTCCTTGAGCAGCATCCCGAAACTCTTAGGCTACAGGCTCAGCTTCTTTATAGAAACCTTTTCCTTTGTGATGTCATGATTTGCTTCACAGCACCTTTCCCAAAACCTTCATATATTCACCTCTAATCCTCATGTGACGTAAATTTTTAATTCTGTTACCACAAAGTAGGGATACAGTTGCTATAGCAGCCTGAAATAGTTGATATACCTGATTCATTAATCATCCATCCAATTCACTGTGGAAATACCTGTGTCTAGAACCACCCTTCTGCCATGTGAATACTCTTGAGTTTTGGATTTAGGGAAGTTTGGGGGAGGAGTCATTGCATTACTATCTGTGTTGTCAAAGAGGATGTGTTTCTAATACGAAGATTTTAGTCGTGTTATTTTGAACTACATCTTAAGTATGTTTTATTTATTTAAGAAACTGAGAACACTGCTTCCAAGGCAACAGAATTAGAAGATAAAAACCCTGGGCCAGTCAGGACAGAAGAAAGTCAGGAGCAGAACCAATTGTCATGTGTACAGGATATCAAAGGGACCAGTATTTCACAAGAAGCAAACCCAACTGCAAGGTAAAAGAGGGAAGAAAGATTCTGGGACTCTGCTGTAGCTATAGGCTCTGGCTGTAAGAATTTGACTGAAAAAGAATTCCATTGATTGAATATACTTTATAGGCTCAAAACCATTAAATTAGGCGATCTCTCATCCATCTAGCTCTAAAAGTACTTCTATAGTTGTTTGCCTGATTACAAATGACATACTAATACTAATATTCTCTTTCAGAAATGAGAATCAAGAAGAGAGCTCCCAAGAAGTTCAGATGTTGCCAGTTGCTCCTGTTCTTTCCTCTGAGGCAGGGCCTTCCACACTTGTTTCCAGTGGGGGCTTTGGTGAGAATTCTGAGCCTCTGATAAAGGATGCTAAAGGAGACAGTATACCCATACTTCATGTGCCTGAGGTAAAAGAATGTAGACTGTCACAAGGGGTAGCAGATGTGTCTACCCATTAAAAAAAAGTTAATGTATAGTTTTCATATGATAAACTTTACCCTCTGTTGTGTTTGTGTGTGTGCACATTCATTTTATTTATTTATTTTTTGGTGCTAGGAGTCTAACTCAGAGCTTTATGCATTTTAGCTAAGCTATAACCAGCAGTGCCTCAAACATCACCCCTTGAGAGTACCATTGTAAAAGTTTCTACATGTGCAGAGTCTTGTAACCAGTATATGAGTGGTTCATCACAGTAATCACTAGTGCCCTTTGATATTCACCTTTCTCTCACATCACTTCTTTATAGTCACCAACCCATTTCCTCTGTAGCTTTGCCTTTTTCATGAATGTATTGCAATTGAATTTTAATTAAATCTGTCTTTAGTCTCTGGAACATAGAGACAGAAGAGCTGTTAGCCAGCTTTATTGTGAAAGCTTTCAAAAGGAAAGTTTTATACACAGAAAATGTGTTTTGTACACAGAGTAGGCATTTTTTGAGATGTCACTACTACTACATGTCTGGCACTTCCAGACAGTGGGAAATAAATCTGTGGGAGACAGATGAATCATTCCTCCCCTCCCAATACCAGGGATTGAACTGAGGACTTTGAGCTTGTGAGGCAAGTGTGGCACTGCTGAGCTAAATCCCCAGCCCAGAAACAGGTGACTTCTTTTTGTTTTGTTTTGTGTTTTTGAGACAGGGTCTCACTATATAGTTGAGACTGACCTGGAACTCACTATGTAGCCCAGGCTGGTCTCAAACTCACAGTGCTGGGATTACAGGTGTGTGCCACCACGCCCGGCTAACAGGTGACTTCTTAAACTCAGTTTATGATACAGTATGATAGGATAGATTCTTTAGGAGTTGCCTCCACTGTAATTAATTTCTGGGAATGAGACCCAAGCATTAATATTCTCTTTTAAAAGTTCTCTGGAAAAGCTGGGCATGGTGGTGCATGTTTGTAATCCCAGCACTCAGGAGGCTGAAGTAGGAGGATTGCTGTAGTTTTAGGCCAGCCTGAGCGACGTAATGAGTTCAAGGGCAGACTGAACTACATAGTAACTACATAGTGAGAACCTGTTTTGGAAAAAGAAAAAAGTTCCTTGGGCACATTCAGTAGCAAGGTAGAGGAGTGGCACATTAGGAGCCATGCTCCAGGAGTGAAAATGGTGAAGTTGATGAGAGCTCAGCCATATAGATAGCTTCTGGTCCCAAGAAGCATCTGAAGTGAGTAGCAGCTTCAAAGCATGAATGCTGGGTAAATTGACTTGTGTGTTTATTCCTCATCCATCCTGTGGTCCCCACAAGCTGAAGGAACATCAGCTTCTTACCATCTTCCTAAGGAATAGACTTAAGTGTGCCCTGACATGAGATGAAGTAAAGAAGATTTTCATGCTGTGCCTCATTAAGATTGATGGCAAAGTCTGAACTGTTATAACTTACATGTGGGTTCAATGGGTTGTCATCAGTGTTGCCAAGACAGGAGAGCATTTCTGTCTGATCTGTGACTCAGACAGATGGGTTGTTTTGCTGTTCATTCATATTGCACCTGAGGAAGTCAAGTAGAAGTTACAAAGTGAGAAAGATCTTTGTAGGCACCAAAGGAATCTCTCATGTGGTGACCCATGATGCTCCCACCATTGGCTACTCCGACCCCTTTATCTAAATGAATGATAACAACCAGATTGATTTGGCATCTGGCAAGATCACCAGTTTGATCAAGTTTGACATTGGTAACTTGTGTGTGGTGACCAGAGTTGCTGACTTGGGAGGGATTGATGTGATCACCAACAAGGAGAAACATCCTGGCTCTTTTGATGTGGCTCATTTGAAAGATGCCAACAGCACTAGCTTTGCCACCTGGCTATCCATCATTTTTCTTATTAGTAAAGGCACAAGCAATGGATTTCTCTTCAGCAAGGAAACGGAATCCTCCTCACCATTGCTGAGGAGAGAGATGAGGCTGGCGGTCAAACAGAGGAGTGGGTGAAATGGTCTGTAGGTGACATGTTGGAGCAGTCTCTGTGCATAATTAAAGATGTAGAGAATGATTAAAAAAAAGTTTCCTGAATGAAAGCATCCTTTAAAGAACAAGTATAAATGAGTGGATTAAAGGGAAAAAAGTATGAAAAAAAACAGGTGTGGAGCAGTACAACATATTTGGGATTATATATTGTTTTGAGTGGAATATAAATGAGGAAGAGATGAAGTTAGAAAGATGGCCGGCAAACTAGGCCAAACCTGTAATCCCAGCACTTTGGGAGGCAGATGTGGAAGGATGACAAGTTCAAATCCTGACTGGGCAACTTGGTGAGACCCTGTCTCAAACGAAACAAGAAAGAAAGGGGTTGGTGCTGGGGATGTAGTGTGTTCTTGAGGTCAGTCCTTAGTATCCTACAAATAAACCCAAAACTAGAAGGAAAAAAAAGGTCATTTGCAGACAGGTAATATAGGGATTTTTATGACTTGCTAAGGAGTTTGATAGTATCCATGTTGTGAGACCTCCCCAATGTTTTAACTTTTGAAATAATTTCAACCAGAGAAAAGTGACAAGAATTTTCGAACTCTTCCATATTTTTTCCCTTGGATTTATTAAGTGTTGAAACGGAGTTGCATTTGTTTTTCCCTTGCTGTCCATCTCCATGAATGGATGAATGGGTGGATGGGTAGATTCTTTGAAAAATTGAACAATTTGAAAATTTCAGACATGAGCCTTCACTCCTAAATATTCCATCTTGGTAATAAGAACAAGGTTGTTCTCTTACAGAGAAGTGATAGTCCTTTTCTCACCCTAAGTATTACCATAGTATTTAGTATTTCTTCACTGATACTACTTAATATACAGTTTCCATTCAGGTTTCCTCAGCTGTTCCAGTCATGTCCATTATACTTTAATTTTTAAAAACAACTCAGGACCCAGTTGGAGGTGTCACATTGTATTTTGTCATTTCTTCTTCTTTAATCTAGATGAGTTCTTATTTTTTCTTTTTATGGACTTCACATTTTAAACAAACCTAGGCTGGTCCACAATCTGGATTTTTAAAAAATTGCCACCTCATTATTGCATTTAGTTTTGGGACAAGATTACTACATAGGTGATGTTGTGTTTTTCCCCTAACATCACATCAAGAGACAAATAATATCAGTTTGTTCTGTTATTACTGTTGTTGACATAGCATTTGGCTAAAATGGTACCTGCCAGATCTCCCCATTACAAGGGTGTCTTTTCCACTCTGTGTTAGTATTTTGTCCAGTAAGTCCCAGCAGCTGTTTTGGTACCATTTGTTTTGGTATCCATTGATGAGTCTTCCCTGAATCAGTTGTCAACATTTTTGGCTGCAAAATGAAAATTAAGATTTTAAGCATTATGGGCTGGGGGTTTAGCTCATTGGTGCCACTCGCTGCCTGCCTCGCAAGCTCAAGGTCTGAAGTTCAATCCTGGTACCAAAAAAAAAAAACCCAAACAAACAAAAAAATATTTTAAGCATTAGAGAATTACCACTGGGATTGCTATTTAGAAAAACAGTGTTAGTAGGTTTTATTTTGCTTTATTGTGATATTGGGGATTAAATTTAGGGCCTTTATACTGAGCTACATGCCTAGTGCCCCCTTTTCTACTTTTTTTTTTTTTTTTTTTTTTTTTTTTTGGTGCAATACAGTCTTGCTAAATCGTGCTTCAGGCTCCCAGAGAGCTGGTGTTACAGGCTTGCATCACCATGCCTGGCTGTTAGTAGTTTTGTGGAAGACAGATTGGTAGAAACCACAGTGGAGGCAAGAAGAGAAGTTTGCCCTATTGAGATATCATTTGCTTAAGGGACAGGGCTGGTGTGTTGGGAGTAAAGAGATTGTTGAAGGTTTGGATCTGTCTTGTCACTTCAGGAATCATCTCACCACGCACAGTGGTACATACTTGTAATCCCAGCTACTCAGAAGTAGCTGAAGTAGAAAGCTAGAGCCCAGCTTGGGCAATTCAGTGAGACCTTGTCTCAAAATTTTAAAAGGGCTAGGGAAAACTCTGTGGTAGAGTGTTTGCTTAAAATTCTTTGTGTTTATTTAAGTAAATCAGAAGTTTTAGCCAGATGTGGTAGTGCATGCTTTTAATCCCAGCACTCTTGGAGGTTAAAGCAGGAGGATCAGAAGTTCAAATCCATCCTGGGTAACTTAGTGACTTAGCAACACTCTGTCTTAAAATAAAAAATAAAAAAGACTGAGGATATATATATATATGTCTTAGTGTGAAGACCTTAGGTTCAATTACAGTACAAAAAAAATGCTCAAGAAATTGTAAATGTTTAAGATAAGTCATTGAGTTTTGAAACAGTATCTCTTTACTATATCAGATTGTCAGGAAACTTCAAAACTAAGATTTGTCAAACTTTACCCTTCCATTTTACTTTTTTATGGCAGTGTACATCAGCTAATATTCTAGAAGTGCAACAAGAGAATGTAACCAACACTCAAGACCTAACAGGTATGAGCATCTGATTCAGTGAAGTCTCAGAACCTAATGATTTTTTCATTTAACTGGAAAAATAAGTTTTCATTGTTGTTGTTGTTTTTTTTTTTTTTTTTTTTTTTTTTTTTTTTTTTTGGTACCGGGGATTGAACTCCGGTCCTTGTACTTGGAAGACAGGCAGTGGGACCACTGCGCTAAATCCCTGGCCTGGAAAAATAAGTTTTTTTAAAACTGTGTTGCCCTTAAAAAACAAACTTGAAGTATTTTGTGTATCAGTTTTGTTTTTCAGAATTATGGCCCCTCCCCTTAGTATATCATCTTTACCCTTTATGAAATTATTTTTGAGGATTGGGCTGTAATTTTATTTCGTCTTGATAAAATGTCAGTGAGACTTTATTTTTAAAAGTAAAATGATTTTGTTTCAGTTGGAGCAGTTATTAACTTTCACACTTTGCAGTAAATCTGTTTAGGGATGTTCATCAAGATGGAGAAGATGAGCAAGTGTTCATTTTAACTCTGGTGGAAATCCCAGCCAATGCTGCAGAAGAATTCACTGATGCCGGAGCACAGTTGATGCTGAACCCTGTACTGCCTGCGCCCATCCTGGTCAAATCTGGTAATCCTGAAGAAAAGGCTGATGTTAGGTAAGTTTTTTTTTGTTTGTTTTTTGTTTTTAGAGTAGCAAAAATTTATTGAAGGAAAGAAAGCTTCTGTCTAAGAGAAAAGGGGGACTGAAAGTGGGCTGCTTCTCAAAGATGTTTTATACAGCAAAGCTATGTGATGAGGCAGATACAAATTGGGACAAATCTGTAAGACCCAATGGAAAATTACAAGGTGGGCATTAGCTGGGGCAAAACCATGACCAGCCAGTAAGATTATAAGTACAGCCACCCAGGTAATATTGATTTAATGGGAATCAAATGGGGGAGCAAGTCATGTAGCAAGCCTACAAGGATTTTCAGTAAGGGTGGTGGCCGGGGATATTTCCTGGAAGGGCTAGGTTAAGACCTCGGCCCCACTACCCAGGTGATTGATACCTATTTAGAATATTAATCACTGCTATTTATCCCCAGGGGAAGCACATGGCTATAGTAGTTTCTCTCCTTTTACAATTCTAGCTTGCATTGAATGTGTCTTGATGGTCCTCCATGTTGGCTTCTTGCTGCGATGGCTCCTTGAGGGCAATCCTAATTGCCTACAAGATATCTAATTAACTTACCTATCTTCAATATTCCTCCCTCTGAAGAAGTACTCCTAACTTCTGTGAGGGGACGAAGGGCGAAGACAGCGCTGACTACTTCCAGCTGAAGAGGGTTTAGTTGTAATCAGCAGTTAAAGAGTTACTCTACAGAGGGTCTATCTAAAGGCTTTCAGCTGGCATTGTCATCTTGGTAGCTGCATAGCTTTTAAATCTGCAGGAGACAAAGCCAAAGAAACAGTTAAGAGTGCATGGGCCAAATGATAAGGTCAGCAGTATTGCCATGAATATAGCGAACAAAGAGGATAAGAAGAAGGTCCAGGGGATTTCAGAATCCAAAATAAATGTCACTTTGTAAATTTAGCAGTGTTTACAAGGTTGATCTGGTGGATCACAGTAAAAGAATTGTAGCACATTTGTCATTAGTTCCATTTGTATGACTGCTTGGAGTTTGGCAGCCTCTAGGAAAGAATAAATAAAACAAAGATGTAGGATCCTGTAGGAAAGGTTCTTTGTGTCCTGGATCTTGTAGACCTTGAGGGGCCAGAGCTAAAATATTGGCTGTCCTCATAGCCCAGTTACCTTTCTAGTTTTGGTCTCCAAACTCCATCCAGTGATCTTCATGGAAGACCTCCAAAATAATATGGGGGAAGAGATCTAACTCCCAAACTGGCTAGATATCTGAAACACGAGTTTGTGTTCTCTAAAATCGAGGAATGAATTCTAGAAACAATGGAAGTTAAAAATAGGAAAAATTTATTGAGGGAAAGAAAGCTTCTGTCTAAAGAGAGACAGAAGGGAAACCAGAAAGTGGGTTGCCCCTTTTGCTAAGAAAAAAAGACCCTTCATGAATCAAATTGTGTTGATTGAATATGCCATTTACTGACATTCTTTATAATTATAGAGATCTTATTTAGTAATTATGGCAGATTTGAGAAGAATTATAATGTGGTTCATTTTATATCTGATAAAGATTCCATTTAAATGTAGTATGTGATACTTTTTTGTGGAACTTATTTGATATTTTGAGTACTATAATTTAGCAATCTGGATCATAAAATGATACCAGTTACAAGTATAGTTATGTACTCCTAACTCTGAAATATGCATTCATAGAATAAGTTGCCAAGAATATTAGCAGAAGTAACATTTCTATTGATTTTCGAAGCTCTTAATTCTTTATTGTGGAAGTGTTGAGTTGTATTTTAATTGCTATTGGTTAAAAATGGTTGTGTATCAAGAAAAAAGCTTGTCTTATCAAGCAGTAGCTTTAGAAATTGAAATCTTGCTTTTTTTTTTTTTTTGGAGACAGGAGCTATGTAGTTCAGGTTGGCCTTGAACTCACTATGTCACAGCAATCCTTTAGCTTCTCGAGTGCTGGGATTACAGGCATGCACCATCACACCTGGCCTTTTTTTTTTCCAATTATAAAGGGACACTTTAAATTAAAACTTTAACTTTACAGAAAAGCAAAATAATACATACCTCAGATTTAATTTAGTATTATGAAAATTAAGTTGTGAGTGCAACTCAGAACTTGCATTTTTATAGCCATTGCCTTGAATTTGTTACTTTAGAGTTTTTTGGTTTCATTGGAATTTTCATTAGTTGCTTAGCCTTTAACCTCATTATAATGAACTTCTGATTCACTGGTGTTATATGGATTCATGTTCTGTGCAGTATGACCTTACCAGTAACTTCAGTTGGTGAAGATGCTGTGTCCTTATCCAATTCTGAAAGAGATGATTCTGAAAAGCCTCCTGCTAATTTGGATCTTATATCTAGGAAGAGATTTCACTGCATGCTTGATGAAAGCGACCAAATTCCTCCTACCAAAAAAAGTTCACTCACATTAAGAAATAACCTGCAACAGTATGCCTCTGAGGTAAGTCATTACACAGTGATGTGGCTGCACTCTTAACAGAGCTGCTTCTGTTTTTTCCTTCACTGTTTAAACCTTTATATATACAAAGATAGTTTTGACACTTTTCATTATAAGTAATACAATTAAGGCCACTTTAGGATTATCTGTTTCAGCCATCTCCAAGCGGAAATTGGTGGATATTAATTGGGAAACCTATTCTTTGTGATGGTGGTTAAAAATAAGTCAGGGGCCAGGGATTTAGCTCAGTGGTGCTGCCACTTGCCTCATAAGTGCAAGGTCCTGAGTTCAATCCCCAGTACCACCCCACCACCACCAAAAAAAGTCTGAAAGCATCATGCTGATCTGAGTAAGTAACTTGTTCAAGTCTTTTTACTTTTTATTTTTAAATTTTTTAAATTTTTGGTACCAGGGATCGAACTTGAGACCTTGTGCTTGTGAGGCAGGCAGCAGAGCCCCTGAGCTAAGTCCCTGGCCCTGTTTAGGTCTTTTTAAAAGTTCTTTTGATATTGGCATTAGGGTTATATTAATTTGAAAGATTTTTTGTTTTTGTTTTTGTTTTTTGAGACAGGGTCTCACTACGTAGTTGAGACTGACCTGGAACTCACTATGTAACCCAGGCTGGTCTTGAATTTGTAGCGATCCTCTGGCCTCAACCTCCTGAGTGCTGGGATTACAAGTATGTGCCACCACACCCAGCTTGAAAGATTAATTTAGAGAAAATTGACATAATTTTAATGACACAGTATGTCTTTCCATTTGGGTGTTTTAACTTATATTGTTAGTTTATCCTAAAGAATTTTATCTTTTTTGTTCTTTTTTATTATTGGCTCTTTTCTATCAAGAGAACTTTCCAAATTCCTTCACTGTGTTCAATAGTTTTTCGTTGTTGTTGTTGTTTTTATTTTGTTTTGTTTGTTTTTTAGTACTGGGAATCGAACTTGGGGTCCTTGAGCTTGCGAGGCAGGTGGCAGAACCACTGAGCTAAATCCCCGGCCCAGTGTTCAATAGTTTTTCAGTTGATTCTCTTCAATTATGTAGGTAAACAGCTATATAATCAGCAGATATAATATTGATAATTCTACTTGTTATAGTTCTAATTTCCTTTCTTATTGGCTAATATAATTCCAAACAATGTTAAAACATAGTACCAGTAGTAGATATCCTTTTTTATTCCCAACTGTAATGGAGATACTTACAGTGATAATTGGGATGTTGGCTTTCACATTTTGATAGTTTTAAGAAAATGTCTTCTACTTGAGAGAGTGAGACAGGAGGCTCCTTTGAACCCATAAATTCACCAGTGTTGACAATGTAGTGAGACTCTGTCTTGAGAAAAAAGTAAAAGAAAAAACCACTGGGCATGGTGGCACACCTGTAATCCTAGCACTAGGCTGGTTGAAGCAGGAGGATTGCTGTGAATTTGAGGTCAGCCTACGCTGCACACAAGGTCAACATGAACTACCTAGTGAGATCTTGTCTCAAAAAAAAAAGCTGGGTGTGGTAGCACAGGTCTGTAATCCCAGCACTTGGGAGACTGAGGCAGGAGGATCCCTGTGAGTTGAGTTGGAGGCCAGCCTGGGCTATATAGTGAATTCAGGACCAGCCTTAACTATATAGTGAGATCTTATCTCAAAAATTAAAAAAAAAGGAAAAGAAAAAGTCTATCCTAGTCCATACTAACTTTTTAAAACAATGACTACTACTATAAATAGATAAGATTATTTTCCTTACATCTGAATTACTTTCCTAATGTTGAATCATTTTTGAATTCATGTAACAAATTGGTCATGGTGTTTTTAGTAGTCTATTGAGCTGCTGCTTTTAATTTTTCATTTAAAGGGCTCAGGTGTAGAGCTTAGTGGTAGAGAGAAGCCCGCCCTGCTTATCATGTTCAAGGCCCTGGGTTTGTGCTCCAGCAGCACAAGGGAAAAAAATTCTAACATTTCATTTGCTGTTTCTCCACTGATGTTAAGTGAGACTAGTTAGTTGGTATGTATATTATGATTGAGATAAAAGATGTTTGGCAGTTTTAGCTCTCTTGCTGGGCACTGGAACAGGGTAAAAACAGTTAGCAGTATCTTTCCCCTCAGTGTTTGATAGAATTTATGTAAGTAAGACATGTCTGGCTCTGGAGCTTTCTGAGAGATAACATGTTTTTTTCAGAAAGGAAAGAAGGGAGGAGGGAATTTTAATTTGATAATGGATTTCTAAATACTTTGTAAATTTTCTTAAAACAGGTGTGTTCAAAGGAATTAAATGCTTTTGAGGAAACAGGTGAGTGAAATAAATTTTAGCATGATTGCATTTTGCAAAGTACTTCTGGTTATTTGCTTGGGCAATTTAGCTGCCTAGCAAGATTCTGTCTGAGAATATAAAGGGCTGCTGATGTAGCTCAGTGGAAAGGACCTGGGTTCAATCCCCCATACTGCATCCGCTCACAATTGATGGTGGCATTTTTGTAGAATGAATTAGAACTATACAATGAAAGAGTTTGGTGGTTGGCTGTTTGTTACTTTGTTGTTTTGTGATGCTGAGGATCAAACCCAGGACCTTATGCGTGTTAGACATAGAGAATTAATCTTTCTACCATAGAGTTGCACCCTGAGCTCCTAGTTTTGGTTCTTTAAATACAGACTTAATCTCAAATGCCCTAATTTTAACTATGAAACTATAATGTGGTTATAGTTCCCAGCCTTTGGAAATGTCCTAATATTCTCCCATCCATGCTTTGTGAAAGCATTAAACAAATCATAACATATTGAAATATTAGTGGTATGCTGTGTACTATTGTTAATCAGATTTTGAAGGGGTGTGTATGTGTGTTTAAAGGAGGTATACTTGTTGTTAACTTCATTCTACATTCATGGTGCTAAAACATTCTTACTGGGAATACGTCTTTAGAATCAGATCTATTACCTAAGGGAAAATGGATTTTTTTTTTTTTTAGCTTAATAAGTTTCTCAATATTTGTGTTAATCAGTTTTCCTGTTGCTGAGACAAAATACTTGACACCCATAACTTAAAGGAGGAAGGGTTTAGTTTGGCACTTGTGAGGGACTTGTGGCCAGCTGACTTCAAGACAAATGTTATGGTAGAGGGCATGGCAGAAGAAAACTGCTTGTCTCATGGTGACCAGGAAGCACAGAGAAGAGAGAAGCTGGGGAGAGAGATGCACCTTCCAAAGGCATACACTGAGGGACACACTGCTCCCCAGTAGGACCCTCCTCCCAGCACGTTTAGCTTTGAACTCATCAATGGATCAGTCCCATTATTGAGCACAGGACCACCATGATCCAGTTACCTTCCAAAGCCCCACCTCTGAACACATCAAACTTTGGGGGGAGACATTTTAAATCTAAACCAAAACTATGTTATCCTAATGAATTGTTACTTTAGCTTTTGTACTTGGTTTAGAGAAGAAACCCCTTAATTAACTTATGTGCATTAGTTAGTGGGGTGTGGGCTTTATTTACTTTTTTCCCCCTGGTACTGGGGATTGAACGCAGAACCTTATGCTTGTGAGTTAGGTGCAGTGCCACTGAGCTAAATCCCCGGCCTTTTTCATCAGCTCACAATACCAAGAGTTACCACATGTGTTGGGTTGGATTAGCTTTTGTATTTTAAGAAGCCTTTGAATTTTAGGAAATGATCACCCTTTCATTTTGATTGTTCAAGAGATATTTTTGGAAGAAGATTTTTACAGGTAAAAATGTGGAAAGATAATTATTTTGTGTAGTGATACGACTTTTACAGAAGCTATTACCATACCTTTTATTAACTAGTTGGCAATATTTTCTTTTCTTTCTTTTCTCCTGCTCCTCCCTCTCCCACTTTCCAGCCACTTCTTTTCTACCACTGTGCTTCATAATTCACCATACTCTTCTTTTTCCTCCTCTTTTTTCTTTTTTGATACCAAGGATTGAACTCCGGATTCTGTGCTTGCTAAGTAGCTTACTGTTATGAGGCTGGATTTGTTACTGAATTATATGCATTTTTTTCCTTTGAATTTTATAGTGGCATATATATTAATTTCAAGATACGTACTTACTCTTAACTATCTTTTCTTGAAGGAGAATCTTATAAGGGACAAAGTACTGCCACCACCTCAAGAAGCACATATACAACTCCAACACCTCAGAAAGAGCAACTTGAACCAGGCTTGCAGAATAAAGAATCAAGAGCTCATGATAAAATAATAGATACACGTATAGAGAATGTGCCTCATTTGTCTCAGCATGATGTGGTTATGTCTGATAAAGAAGAAAGAGTTGTTGCTGCTTCTACGTCTGAACAGAGGGCAGGCAGGACAAAGTCTTCCAAATCCCCACTCTCCAGGTAGCGTGAGAAGGAAAGTCCCCTGTGCCTCTTGAGTGTCTGAAGCCTGCATAGAATAGACTCCTGTGTAAAGGTTAAACTCAGCATTAAGGTTGCTTTATATATATGTCCTGTGACTATAATGGAAGGAGAAGATCATACAGAGGAAATGCAGTAATGTTTGGTGTAATGAAAGCTCAACTATACACTCTGTGATGAGAGCCTAACTTAAATTGTGAAGCTTTGCCTATTTTTTTTTTGTACCAGGGATTAAACTTGGGTCCTTGCACTTGCAAGCCGGTGGTGGAACCACTGAGCCAAATCCCCAGCCCAAGTGTTGCATATTTGGAATAGAAAATCTTTAGACTATTACATACTTTGTCCATGGTTATTATTTTGATTATTATGTATTCTGCCATATAGTACCAACGAATACGTAGATATTCGGAAATATAGAGCTGATACCAGAGGTAGCTCTGGAAGTTGTTTTATTGAATTCTAAAATAATGTGTCATTTTTTTCCTTGTTGGCACCCTAAAGAGGCATGGCTTTCTCTCTGAATTTAAGCTCAAAGCCAACTTCTCCCACACTTTTTCTTTCCTTTTTTTTGAGACAAGATCTCACTGGCCTGAACTTACTATGTAGGCCAGGCTGGCTTCCAACTCCTGGTGATCCTCTTGCTTCAGCCTCCCGAATGCTGAGGTTGCAGGCCTATGCTTTCATGCCCGACTCACATTGTTTTTCTTACACTTTAGAAGCAAGTCTGGGTTATCAGTAACTTTTGGCTTGCCAGCAACATTCCAAACAATTAATATGGTGAATTGAAAGGGACAGCATACACCAGCCTCCACTAAGGGGTGAGGACAAGTCTATCTTAAAAAAACTTATTTAAAACACCGGGTATGGTGGCACATGCCCGTAATCCCAGCACTCAGGAAGCTGAGGCAGGAGGATCGCTCTGAGTTCGAGACCAGCCTGGGCTACACAGTGAGTTCTAGGTCAGTCTCAACCACATAGTGAGACCCTGTCTCAGAAAACCAAAACCAAAACAAAACAAAAAAAAAACTATTTAATAAGAATATTGGTTATCTTTCGGGCATGGTGGTGCACACCTGTAATCCCAGCATTTGGGAGACTGAGGCAGGAGGATTGCTGTGAGTTCAAGACCAGCCTGGGCTACATAATGAGTTCAAGGTCAGTCTCAGCTATCAAAAAACAAAATAAAAACAAAAGAATATTGGTTATCTAATGTACTGAAAGTAAAGCTCAGCAGTATCCTTTTTCTAGGCTTTGAGATGTGCTGAACATAGAATAAGGGAAGGAAGCATTATGCGAGTTTAGACTAAAACAAGTTTAGAAGTAGTTTCTAGAACAAAGGCAGCGAACATTTTGTAAAAGGTTATGTGGTAAAATTTTAGGGTTTGTGGCCCATTGGGTTTATGTTGTAACTACACAACTCTGCACTTATGGCTTGGAAGCAGCCATACACAGATGTGTGACTGTGTCCCAGGAAAACTTATTTACATATCAGATGGCAGGCTGTTTCTGGCTCTTGGACCATCATTTGCTGCCTGTTTTTGCTCAACCTTGCTATTCAGAATGTGGTCCTGGGCCCAGCAACGTGGATGTCATTTGAGAAAAACTTGTTAGATACACAGGAGGCAGAAACAGAAAGATCACTGGTTCAAGATCAGCCCAGGCAACTTAGAGAAACATTGTCTCAAAAAAATAAAAACTGGTGTGTGTGTGGGGGGACACCTGGGATTTAGCTCAGTGGTTCTGCCACCTGCCTCCCAAGTGGAAGGACTCAAGTTTGATCCCTGATACCAGAAATATGAAATAAAATAAAATAAAAATGGGTGTAGCTGGTAGAGTGCTTGTATAGACTGTTCCAGGACCTGGGTTCAATCCCCAGTACCAAAAGAAGAAAAAAAATTCATGACTCAGTCGACTTCCATTACCAACTCAGTCTGAACTTTTAAATACTTTATTTTATCTTACTTATTAATTTTTGAGGTAGAGTCTCACTATATATATCCCAGGCTGGCCTAAAATTTGTGTTGATCTTCTTTCCCCGGCCTCTCTCATGTTGGGATTATAGGTCTGGCCACCGTGCCCAGCTTTGAACTTTTGTTTGTTTTTGGTACAGGGATTTGCATTCAGGACCTTGTGCTTGTGAGGCAGGCAGCACCACTGAGCTAAATCCCCAGCGCTCTGCTTTGAAATTTTAATAACACCCTAGGTGATGTTGTATACACTTCTGAACCTGTGAAGCCTTGCTTTAGAATGCTTCTGGGTCATGTTACAAATCTGTGTCCTGACCTAATGGCATCAGTACTTAGTAAATGTGCCATTTTAGCATTTATGGAAAGAAAATATGTGAAGATCGAATTTTACTGGATATTTTTGACTGTCTTTACATTTACATTTCTAGGTCTGGCAGAAGACCCCTGGGATTTTTAGCTTTAATATGTTCAAAGAATAATTTGATGGAGTCTGATGAACCTACTCAAGTCCGTAGTAAAAAGCGCTTGAAACCTCTTCTACCTGCATCAAGACGGAATTTGAAAAGATCTAATCCATCCGATGAAACTCAGAAACAACATCAGGAGTCCTCTAATGTGCTTCCATCTCCAAGTGATGCCATCAGTACTCAAGCTGAGGAAGCTGGCAGCTCAGCAGCTCAGGTGTGTGAGAACTGTGGTATTTTGTTGTGTGTATAAAATGCATTGGATCAGATTCAGCTAGGGAGAACATGATCATTCTGCTTTCATTTGGTTGTCACAAGTGATTTTAGGGCAACTCCCATTAATTTCTACCCCATCATCCTGTTTCTACCTCCCACTCTGGAAGGAGGGAGGTATTGGATAAGGAAGTTACAGCTGGTTTGGTACAGAGCACACAAACTAGCAGTAAAAGGACATTTATTTGATTACCACTGCCTTAATCCAAAGACCCTTCTGATTGTAGAAGGAAAATGAAGCAGTCCTTGCATTTTAATTTGCCTTAGGAGAAATGTCCTGACATCCACAAGAAGCCAAGGAGCTATAAAGTGAGCATTTGTATTTTGTTTCTCTGCATTGTGAAGCTAATGGCAAGTACTAGGAAAGAAAACTCTAGTTATGATTTTTGATTATTGCCTTTTTTTTTTTTTTTTTTGGCACCGGGGATCGAACTCAGGTCCTTGTACTTTGCGAGGCAGGCGGCAGAACCACTGAGCTAAATCCCTGGCCCCAGTTGCCTAATTGTTTTGTAGAATGGTTGTTGCAATTGTTAGTGTGTCAGTGCCAGTTTAATTTTATCTTTGCCTGCATTAGGTATTAACACTTAAACTAAACTAAATCACATTTAAAAAAAATTAATGGTGCATGAGCTGGCCATGGTGGTACATACCTGTAACCCCTGCACTCCAGAGGCTGAGGCCTATGTGTCTTCAGTTTGAAGCCAGCCTGGACTGCACTGCTAGTCTGTCTTGAAGAAATAAATGAAGTGGAAATTTCATTGGTTTCATATGCATTACCTTAGTTGTTAGTGACTTGGGTTTTTCCAGATATTTACTAGAATTTCTCTCTCTCTCTTTTTTGTTTGTTTGTATCAGGGATTCAACCCAGTACTTTGCATTTGCAAGGCAGGTGGTGGTACCACTGAGCTAAATCTCTGGCCCCTTTTGTGTTTTGATTGTTTTACTTACTTATAGCTTATTGTTAGGAAATTTTTCTCCAGAGGTATAACATTTTCAGGAATCAATTAAAAAAATTGATTCTATGTATAGTTAATGACTTTGATATGGAGTATGAGGCAAGAAACTCATTTTATTCTCAATGTGGAATTTATTTGTAATGAGTAATATTTCCTATGTGCTTTAAAATTCGTAATTTACCCCCCAAAATGGTGTAGTGTGAAAAATTTTCCCCACCTGTGTTTTAGCTTCCAGGTTTCCTCTTCCAAGAGGTACGTGATAGTTGTGAGCATCTGGTTTTACCCCATCCCAATTGGTGATTCAACCTAGGACCTCCCACATGGCAGAGCTCTACCACTGAGCTACAGCCTAACCGTTGATTTATTTTTCTAGAGATATTTTATATATATATACAAATATAAACATATTTTCTTTTCTTTATAAATAATAACTTACTGTTAATCTAACTTGCTTTTTAAATGTAATAGTATATATCAGAGACCTTTGCAAAACAGTAAATGAAAGAGCTACTGCTCTCCTCTGTATCCCTCTGCCCTTCCCACTGGGGGTTTGAAACCAGGGAGTCCTGAGTTACCTCTCCACTACCTTTCCCTCTTACGTTGAAACAGGGCCTCACAGGTTTCCACAATGACCTCAAACACTCAGTCCTCCTGCCTCAGCCTTGAGCAGTCAGTCTTGAGTAGCTGGGGTCATTCAGGTTTGTTGCTTTTTGTTGTTGCATAGCTCTATAGTGTGAATGTACCGTTTTCATTTACTCGTTCACCTACTGAAGCACATCTAAGTTGCTTTCAGTTTGGGGCTGTTATGAACAAAGCTTCTGTTCACATTCACATACAGGTGTTCATGTGAGAACAGAGTTTTATATTTTCAGGGATAATTGTCCAAGACTGTCATCATTTTTTAAATGGCTATGTGATATTTTGCTATTTGGTTGCACCTTAAAGCAATACTGGTCTCATATTTGTAGGCCTTTAGGTCACTCTAATTACACTCTATTCTAACAATATGGCAGGGGAGGCTGTGGTGGCACACATTTGTAATCCCAGCATTCTGGGAAACTGAGGCAGGAAGATCAGGTTCGTGCCCAGTCTGTACACTTTAATGACTTAGCAAGATTCTGTCTCAAAGGGATCTGGGGATGTAGCTCAGTGTGAAGGCCCTGGATTCAATCCATAGTACAAACAAAACAAAACAAAGCAAAAAAAACCCATATGGCAATAGCTAACTTATAATTGGTTCATTTGGCACAGTTATTGGTAAGTTTAATTCCTACAAGTAGATTTACTTGGTAAAAAGGAATGATTATTCTTCTGACAGTTGATGCCTGATCATCCCCAATAGAAACCTGTCAGCTTTTGTTTTTTTCAGCAGTATGGAGGGCCTGTTTTCTCACTGCTAGGTTAGCAGTGCTTTTCTCTTTGACACTCTATTTTTCTTCATTGAGCACCTACTTTCAGTTGAGTGGGGTTGAGAATCTCTTGGTGTGTTTGAATCATTCTAGGCTTTTTTATCTGTGGGGTGTTTGTTCATGTCACTTGACTTCTATTAAAAAATTGCTTTATTTATCTTTTTTACATTGATTTGTAGAAATTCAGGCTTACCTTACACTCACTGTGTAGTTCAGCAATCTGATTTCCTCAGCCTCCCTATCATTGGGATTACAGGTGTGCACCACCATGCCTGGATCCTTTTTTTGAGACAGGATCTTAGAGTCACCGAATTGCCTAGGCTGGGCTTGAACTTGTGATCCTACTGCTCAGTCTCCTAGAGTGTTGGGATCTTAGGCATGCACCACCATTCCCAGCTAACAATGTTATGCTTTTCTATATTAAATTTTTTTTCATAGGAGTTAGGATAAAGTAATGGGTTGTCAGTATTATAATTTAGCTAATCATATTTAATGTTGTAGATTTAGATAGCTCCTAATTTTATTATTATAAATAAAGCAACAAAAGTTACCTTAGTCTTTTTCCCTCTTAATTTTAAACCTAGGGCTTTGGGCAGGCCAGGTGAGTGCCTTGCCACTGAGCCGTATCTCCAAACCTTACTAGCAACATGTAAGTGTTGTATTGATGGAGAAAACTTTTATAAATAGCAAAAACCTATAAAATGTTACAATGTAAAATGGCTTCTGCTGTCTCTAACAGCAGTTTGTTTTGTTTAGCTCAGAACTAACAGGCACGGAAGGCATTAATTGCTGAATGAGGCATTTGGTCTTACCTGAGATAACAGGGCACAGCTCCGAAGGTCTTGAGCTCCGAAGAGAATGGAGCCACATGATCGTAAAAGTGTCAAGATGAAAGGACCATTGCTAACATTTGCTCCCATGACCCTGAACACCCCCACTTCCTATGGGCTAGGATAGATAACTAGGCGAGTCTTAAAAGTAAACTCCCTGACTGTCTTGTGAGCATGATTTGTATATCAGCAATATAAACTATAAAAAATGAAATGTAACTATCCAAATATAGTCAATGCTGTAAAACCCTATAAAAGGAGAAGGTGTAACCCATTATATCATTGATCCAGGTACTGCTTATGTGTGTTTGACCCTCGTTGATGAGTAAATTTGTTATTTTACTTCCATTCTGCTGCCTCTCTGTGTCACTTAATTCCTTCCATAACAGTATTGCATTTTATTTTTGTTACCTTTATAGGTTTCCTGTAATCAGCCGTCATTGAAAGAAGAATGTAAAAGTGGTCAAAAGCAGGCACCTGAATCGGAGGAGCCATCCACAGTCTCAGAATATTTCTTTGGTGATATCTTTATCAAAGTAGATGAAGCAGAATAAAACAGTCTTTGGGTTTTTCCTTTTCTTCTTTTCCCTTTTAAGTCTTGGATTTCTAGAGCCAATTGCAACAACAAAGCAGTATTTAGAAAAAAGCATTGCTGTCTATTTTTCTTTAGGTCAATTTTGAATATTTAATGAATGTGATTTGAGATGTTCATAATCAGTGGAAAATAGTGCTGAGGTTCCTCTCATTCTGGCTGATTGGGCATTTTGGAAACGTCAAGCAGTGGCAGCTGCTCTGAGAAATAGCGACTTTGTTTACATTTCCATTCTGCCTGCACTGAGCACACCTGGCTACTGGGGTCTGTTGTGGACAAATTCTGGCTGAATCACCGTGCCATCTTATTGAGAGTTGATTGTATTTAACATTTAGCAAACTTCTTCTGTAAAGTTTTGTTCTGTTCTTATTTTGTTGCTTTTTGGGGGGATGATGAAGGCCCTTTCATTGGCTTCTAATATGAAAGCAAATTGTGAATCTCCACTTTAGTATGCAACCCTTAAAAATTTTTATATTATCATCTGGTTGTCTGAAAAACGTATTTTTCTACTTCATGGTGATGTAATATTAGTCCTAATTGACGAACTAGTATTTAAACTTAATATTTATAAAAATGACACATCAAAGAGTTTATTTATTTTTAAATTTTTTATTTAAAAGAATATTAAGTTTTAATTATTTTCACCCCTCAAACTGTGGGTAAAGAAGGCATTATTAACAAATTTGTATTTGTCTCCTTTTCCTTTTTAAAGACATTTAAAATTTGGGGGTACTGCAGTTTTGTTTTTTTTTTTTTGGTCTTTTGAGACAGGGTCTCACTATGTAGCTCACACTGGGCATGAGTTCACTATGTAGCCCAGGCTGGCCTCAAAACTTGCAGTGATTTTCCTACGTCTGCCTCTTGAGTGCTGGGATTATAGGCGTGCGCCATTGTGCCCGGTGATATATATGTTTTGAGTACTTTTTTCCTCATAGCTTAGTATATAGATTTTGAACTGTGAATGTTTTTGCTTTTCTTCTATGTTTAGATAATCTCAGGATTTTCATGAGAAGAAAAACTACTTCACCTGTAAGGGAAATTTTCACAACAACTCAATCTCCTTTTCATACACACACTTGCTCCTCTTTTGAAACCCCAATTTCTCGATCCATTTTACCTCATTAAATTCTGTTCAAGACCATAGGCACAAGATATAAGCAGAAAATAAAATAATACTTTAAGAAGAAGTCAGCAACTGCCAATATTAATTTAAATCATTTTATTTATTTATTTTTTTGGTACTGGGGATTGAACTCGGGACCTTGCACTTTGCGGCGGCGCCACTGAGCTCAATCCCTGGCTGTAAATCATTTTATTTTTGAAATTTGATGGTTCACTCATGTGTGCTCTATACATATATGATATATATCTCAACTCTACCTGTGCAAATTTTTCCTGAAACAAATTTCTCAAAGAGCAGATTTATTCTGAGTCTGTTTGGAAAGCCTCCTGTATTGCTAATACTTCAGCTTGGGAGTTGAAAACTTTCTGCAAGATAGTGTTGGGTTTCCGGGTTCTGTGGTCTCTGGTAGCTGCTCAGCTCTTCCGGTTCATGTGGAAGCAGCTGCAGCCAGTACTCAAATGGAGTCTGTTACTGGACTGGGTTGGGTTTGGCCCCTGCAATAGACAGTTTCCTTTAAGGTGCTGACACCTGTGTATGAGTTCTGTGTCACTGAAATTCTGAGTTATGTTTGTTGATTGCTTTATGAAATGATTGGTATTTCAACTGGAAAACTATTTTAAAGTCTGGATGATTTTGGTGTTTATATATTGAAAGGATGGTGGCCAGTTTTCAGGCACTTTAGTAAAGTGGACAGCAGCCCAGAGAGTCCATCAGTGATGCTGACTTGCCAACAGTGATGAAACTTGTTCTTAGAGCATCCCTCTCTCTCTCTCCCCTTTCACTCCTCCTCCTCCTTCCCCCTTCTTCCATTCCCCTCCCCGCCCCCAGTGTCTTGCTCTGTACTTCAGGCTGTCCTTGAACTTACTATGTAGCCCAGGTTGGCCTTGAACTCATGGTGATCCTCCTGTCTCAGCCTCCCAAGTGCTGGGAATACAGGCATGCACCACATATCCAGCTTCTTTTAGAGAATTTCTTACTCGTTGCCTTACAGTGAAATTTCCAGTTTCACTTTACCATTGTGTCATAAAGAAGGGTCTATAATTTGAGTGGAAATTCTCTATAATTATGCATTTATTTATTTCATGGGATTAATATATCAAAAATCATGGAGTAAATCATTGCTATTTTAATATCCCGTTTTTGTAAATTTTTATGTCTCATTCTGAAAAGGTATTCTTCTGTCAGTGTTAGTGTGGAGGGATTGCCCTGACTAACCTATTATTTATCCCTGTATAATATTTATTTTTTAACTTTGTTAATGTCTTGACTCACCAACAATAAACCAGTTGTATGGAAGATGGCGTTTCTTTTACTGGTAATGGATGCAGGGACATTCATTGTATAAAGAGTCACATCAGTCAACAAATTGCCCTACTGTTATATCCTTAAAATAATCTTGGAAAAACAGAAACTTACTTAGCATATTTACCTTACAAGGTGGAAATATCTGTGTTAAAAGTCTGATTGATGTAAAGATGTTAGAAAAATTTATAAACCTTAAAGGAGATGTAATAAAAGGTGTTTGTTTATCTTGATTTTTTTCCTCCTGAATGCTTACATCTTAATAAGTGACTGAAATGGTGGTTGGAAATGGTGGTTGGAAAGCCTAATTGTTGGTAAATGACTGAGGTGCAGATAAAAATAGTAATACCAACTGTTTACTACCATATTAAATACAAGTGACCATGTATACTATCTTGCTTAAAGAAGTCTTTGACAAAAAAGCAATATCTGTCATATGTAAATTTTCTTGTTTTAAAGAAAGCAGTTATGTTCCATAGATATAAATTATGTAAATAAAATTTATTTTATATCATTTCTGTTGTGTTCTTTTCAAAGATATTTGTATCAGTTAGCCAAAACTAGTTACAGTTTTCAGCTATAGTCTCTACTATCTCCTTTTCATAAAAATATAACTGGAACTGAGTTTTATTATGTACTTGTTATGAAGGATTTTTTTGATCTTGTAAAAATAAACTTTCCCCCACTTTTGGGGCATGTAAAGAGTTGCTTACTTTTTGGTTTATTTACATTTTATATCTATTGATTTTCTTTTTGGTACCGGGGATTGAACTCGGGCCCTTGCACTTGCAAGGCAAATCCCTGGCATTTCCATAATACATTTTTAGGTATAAAAATCCAAGCCCTTTTACTCCCCTCCAGCCCATTGTGTCTAAATACCACATTTTCTTTATCCATTCATCTATTGCTGGCCATACAGGCTGCTTCCAAGATTTAGCTATTATGAATTGTGCTGCTATAAACATGGGTGAGCATACATCACTTACTATGATGCCTTTAATTGTTGGGAAGATACTAGAAGGGGATAAGCTGAGTCGAGTTGAGTTTCTGTTTTCAGTGTTTTGAGGAATCTCCGTACTGGTTTTCATAGTCCTTGTAGTAGTTTACATTCCTACCAACAGTGTACAAGCATTCCTTTTTCCCTTGGCCTTGATAGCATTTATTATATGTTTTTTTGATGACAGCCATTCTTCCTGGAGTAAGATGGAAGCTCAGCGTTGTTTTAATTTGCGTTTCAGTAATGACCAGAGATGTTAAATATGTTTTCACGTATTTACTGGCCATTTATACTTCTAAGAAGTGTCTGTTCATTTCAGATGCCTTTCTTTGGGGGGGGGGTTTGGACCTTTTGGGAGGGTCAGATTATTTGGGAGCTTCTATGTATTTTATTTTTATTTATTTATTTATTTTTTTGGTACCAGGGATTGAACTCAGGTCCTTGGGCTTGCAAGGCAGGCCACTGAACCGCTGAGCTAAATCCCTGGCCCCTTCTGTGTATTTTAGATACTAGTCCTCTGTCCAAAGAATAGCTGGCAAAGTTTTTTCTATTCTGTAGGTTGTCTTCAGTCTCTTGGTTATTTTTGTTTTTGTTTTGCTGTGCAAAAACTTTTTAATTTGACACAATCTCATTTTTGATTTTTTGTTGTTTCTTGTGCAGTTGGGGCTCTGTTCAGAAAGTCTTTGCCCACACCTGTGTCTTCAAGATTTTTACCTGATATATCTTCTAGCTCAAGCCTAGTTTTTTTCCTACCTACTGCTTCCATTATACACTGGAATTCTGTTGGGCACATCCTGTTTCATGGTTCAGCAGATTACAGGACGTCTAGTATGTGATGGGCAATGACCTAGGTGAAACTAGTGTCTAGCAATATTGTTATGGTTTGTATCTAGATGTCCCCCCCACAGCCTCATGGGTTCATAGGTGAGGCTTTTTTGGAGGTGGCTGGGTCTAGGGTGTGTTTATGGATTAAGGATGTTTGATGTCTGGAGTAGTTCCCTCGTTGCTTTAACATAGTTCTGGGTGTGGTTGAATTGATTTAGTGAAGAGGGAAACCTTACCCTGGATATGGATGGCACCAATCAATAGGTATTAGCCTACACAGAATATAAATGGGCAGAAAGGAGGTAGATTTGCTAGAAAGTATTGAAAATGTTCTAGAGAGCTGGCTGTGGTGGAACAGACCTGTAATCCCACCATTCAAGAGGTGAGGCAGGAGGACTGCCACGAGTTTGAGGCCAGCCTGAGCGACATAGATCTTGTCTTAAAAAACAAAATGTCCTAGAAAGAGATAATCTCTTGCCAGTTAGTTTTGGAAGGAGTTAGGGGATATGAAATGGATTAGAGGAGTTAGACCAAGGAAACCAAAAATCTAAGATTATCAGATTAAATGTGTTAAATATGGGTCCCCTTGCGGTGTATGGCAGTCATTTCTTCAAAGGCGGCAGCACAATTTCTCCATCCTGTAAGGGGCCTTGATACTTCTCATTGTGAAGTAGAGTCTGTGTCCCCTTCCTGTGAATTCAAGAGTTCTGCCAAAGTGGTGTTACATGGCTTCCTGGGCAAAGTCATAATGCAGGAACAGGAGGGCCATGGTTCAACAGCGCACCCTGACCCCCAGCTTCCTGCTGGCATTTATTTATTTTTTATTTTTTTGCTACCCGCGATTGAACTCAGGACTTTGCACTTTTGAGGCAGGTGTGGCGCCAGTGAGCTAAATCCCCAGCCCTCTAGCTGGCTTTTAAATAACTCTCCCTCAGGCGTCCTGGAACTTCTTCCTCTGGTACCAGTTATTTTTTATGTATTCATTCAACAAACGGCATTTATCATATGCAGGCCTTTGGCTGGACACAAGCCAAAGAAGACAACTCCGACAAGATCCCAAATCGGCTGAACTACAGGAGCTGGAACACAGTGCGACCCGAGCCCCTCCAGAGAAGTCTAGTCAAGGTATAAAGAAGTAAACAGTTGGGGCAGAGAAGGATTCCGGGAGAGGGGAGCCCTGAGCCAGCCCTTGAAAGGTGTGTCTGAATTCACAGAGAAGCTCACATGGCCGGGTGTGGTGGTGGGAAGGTGCCCTGCATGGAGCAAAAACATTTTTCTGTTGGCCTTCGGAGGCATACACTGTGTACATCAAGCCTTCGGGGTTCTGCGCCTGCTCTGGTGCTTGCCCCAGTGCGGTGGGCTGTTCTCCATTTCCTGGACCCAGCAGCGCTTCAGGTGCCCCTGCGAGGTTTTGCTCAGTCGCCTTCCTTCCCAGCTGCATTGTTTCTTTCCTGTTATCTGCACAGTCCAGCACTTTTCATATGGTCATTTGTATATGTTTTTTAAGAACCGTTAAGTCTAGAACTAAATTTACATCCAGGAGGTGGCGGCACCCTCTCTACGTTGCCCATCCGACTTATGTTCCTCACTCTGTACTCTGTTTAAGCAAGTTCAAGCCATTTTTAATAGTGTTCTTTATTTATTTATGGCTTTTTGAGACGGTCTCACTGGCCTCAAACTCACTGTGCAGCCCAGGCTGACTTCAAACTCATGGCGATCTTCCTGCCACAACCTCCTGAGAGTTGGGACTACAGGCATGCGTCACCCCCCTACTTGTTTTTAATTTTTGTATGTTTAGGGTCCTTTATTTAAGATCACGATTCTGAGCCAAGCGTGGTGGCCCATGTCTATAATTTCAGCACTCTGGGAGGCTGTGGCAAGATAAGATCCAGCCCAGCCTGGGCAACTTAATGACTTAGCAAGACCCTGTCTCAAAAAATATAGTGGCTGGGGATGTAGCTCAGTTTGAAAACCCTGGCTTCCACCCACAGTACAAAAATAAATTAAAAAACAATCACGACCGTCTTTATCACATCGTGAAAATAATCAGAAATGTAAGACCTCCCTGGGACAGGGGTAGAGGCTTGTGCTTTCTGTGCTAGAAAAAAATTCATCAGTGTTGTGAACACTGACCATCGTAATCGGAGTGGCACTGATGAATGTGTGAGGATCTCCCAACTCTGAGACGCGGCAGGCGGCTCAGCGCTGGGACCAGCTCTCCAGGACTCGCGATGGGACTGGACCTCGCGGAGCTGAGCTTCTGTCCCGTATTGGTTGGGCTGGGAGGCGTGGCGCGGCGCGCGGTGCTGGCCTATGATAGGCGGCGAGCGTATTGCGTGCCAGCGAGCGTGAGAAGCTGGCGTCCTGTGTCAGATCTGCTAGAGCGTGAGCAGGGGATCGCGGCCGGGGCTCTCCTGAGTAACCCGGCTCCCGGCGGGCGCGGGCCGCCCACCCGTAGTACCCTGTGCCGCGATGTGGGCCGCCCTGAGGGCAACACGGGGACGCGGTGGCCTCGCTGGGCTCCCGGCCGGACGCGAGCTCTGCAGTGTACCAGGTGGGCAGCTGCGGGACGGGACCTCTCCGCGGGCGCCTGGGCAGCACTGCACCCCGTGGAGCTCTGGGCAGGATGCTGGGGCGCACGGGGGTGCCGTTGCAGGAAGGAGCACGGAAGAAGCGTCCTAATACATTTCAGTTCACTTTTCCAACTTGTGCTGTACTTTGTCTCCCTTAGCCTTGTGGTCCGAGGAATTTGTTGAAGATGAGTTACCTGAGTCCCACTCCAAACCCTCTGGGTCTCTAGGGTGGGGTCCTTGTGTTTGCCTTTTTTTTGATACTGGGATTGAACCTAAGTATCTTCTACTTTTTATTTTAAGACAGGATCTCGCTGAATAGCGAGGTTTTTCAGGCTGGGCTCGAACTTCCAAGTCTTCCTGCCTCAGCCTCCCAGGGTGCTGGGATAACAGGCTGGCGATGAAATTCTTAGACTAGAGGCAGCTTTGGGAACCACCTGACCTAGCACAGCTAACACTGGGCTTACGTACCTTAGTTACATAGTTCTATTAACAGAAAATTCATACCCCACAGCATCTTTGAATTCAGAGGTTTCACAGGGTCAAAAAAGGAAAAACAACAATGCACAGGTTGTGAAACATCAGAGCTGGAAAATTTCAGTCTTCCTTGGTTTCTGACTATACAGATAACATCTAAATCGTGCAAATAACACACAAGTATTTATCTGGGGAGAATGTTGAATTCAGAAACGTCGAACGGTGTGTGTGGTCTGGGCACTATTTTAGATATTTGGTATAGACGTGTGGCAGCGGGACTCAATTTTGTGGGGAAGATGGATGAGAGCTGGAAACTGCACAACTGCGGTGTGCAGAGTGCTTGTGGCTAGCGCTTGAAAGGTGACTGATTACACACAGCTGCAGGTAGGAGGTAATGAGTTGGTTGGATCTTGATTGGGAAAGAGCTGGCCAGGTTCAGGTTGCAGGGTGGAGGTGAGACCGTATAAAGCAAGAAAATGACAAGAACAAAGGCACTGAAACTCGGGTTTTTAAGGTGGATGAGTTTCCAGCACTTGGGCGGGGGATTGAAAAGATCAATAAATATGGCCAGGGATTTGGCAGCAACCCGGGAAACAGACCTTGTTGAGAGAGCAAAAGGGAAAGTGAGAGAGGGGGAGAGACAGTCTAGGGAGTCGCTGGTAGGACATGGGATTTATAGACCAAAGACCTTGCATGAAAAAGCCCCATTTAGATTTTATTTGGCAGGCTCCACTAAAATTGGGGAGAGGTGTGATTCTGTGGGTACCGTACACTCCTCAGTGTAGTGACGATGTGGGTGGTGGAGAAGAGGGACTTAGGTGGCAGTCCAAAGGGTTGAAGTGCAGTGTGGCAGTGCATGCCTGTGATCCCTGAACTCCCGAGGCTCAGGCAGGAGGATCCTTCTGAGTTCAAGACCAGTCTGAATCACATAGGGAGACCCTGTTTTAAAAATAAATGGACAGCTGGGTGTGGTGGTGCATCCTTGTAATCCCAGCACTCAGAAGGCTGAGGCAGGAGGATTGCTGTGAGTTCGAGTCCAGCCTGGGCTACATAGTGAGTTCCAGGTCAGTCTCAACTACATAGTGAGACCATGTCTCAAACAACCAAACCAAACAAAGCAAAACGGACAAACAAATTTCAAAAGAGATTAGGTTGGGGCCAGGGATTTAGCCTCCTGCCTTGCTAGTGTAAGGTCCTGAGTTCAATCCCCAATACCAAAAAAAAAAAAAAGATTAGGTTGGTTTATGAAGGATTGCCCTGGAAGCAAATTATAGAAGTGCTGGCTGTGCCATGGTGAGATCTGGTGGGCAGGCCTTGTACAGATAGCAAAGGTCAGCCCTAAGGGATTTATGGTTTTCTTTTATCCATTGGTTGTTTAATAATGTCTTGTTCAGTTTCCATATTCTTGTGAATTTTCCTTCTGTTGATTTCTAGTTTTATTCCACTGTGGCTGAAACAGATGCTTCAAATAATTTCAGTCTTTTTAAACTTGTTTTTTTTTTTCTTTTTTTTTTTGCCTTTTGAAACAGGTTTTTGCTAGGTAGCCCAGGCTGGCCTTGAACTCACAGCAGTCCTTCTGCCTCAGCCTCCTGAGTGCTGGGATTATAGGTGTGAGCCACTATGCCTGCTAGTCTTTTTAAATTTATTAAGATATGTTTTATGGCCCAACATGTGGTCTATTCTGAGAAAGTTCATTGTGCCCTGAGAAGTGTGCGCTATTGTTGGGTGTGTTCTGCATGTATCTGTCAGCTACAGTGGTATGTTGTGTAGTTCAAGTCCTCAGTGTCTTTATCTGTCTTCTTTGTGGTTGTCCTGTCCTATGTGTGTTGAAAGGAGGGCATTGAAATCTCATTATTGTAGAGCTGTTTCCCCCTTTAGTTCTTTGCTTCATGTATTTTGGAGCTATACTGTTTGATGCATATAAGCTATGTCCCTGGTGAATTGACTCTTAGTGGTATAAAATGTCTTCCTTGGCCTCTTGTGGTAGTTTTTGAGGGAAAGTCTGTTTTATCTGCTATCAGCATGGTTATTGCTGTTCCCTCAGTTACTGTTTGTTTGGAATATTTTTTCCAGCCTTTCACTTTCCATCTCTGTATGTCCTTAGACATAGACTGAATCTCGTAGCATAGAGCTGGATTGTGTTTTTTAAAATTCATTTTGCCAATCTGTATCTTTTTATTTGGGGGTTTGATTCATTTACATTTCAACTAATTGTTGATGGGAAAGGACTTACATTTGGCATTTTGTTCTTTGTGTGTCATATAGAGTTTTTTGTGACTGTTTTTTGGTACCCATTATTCTAGCTTCCTTCATTTTTTTGTTTTTTTTGAGACAGGATCTTGCTGTATAGTTCAGGCTGGTCTTGAACTCACAGTGTAGTCCAGGTGGGCCTCAAACTCATGGCAATTCTCTCACCTCAGCCTCCCAAGTGCTGGCATTATAGGCATGTATCACGAGGCCTGCTTCCTTCATGTTTAGTTGATCTTTTGTAGTGACATATTTTGATTCCCTTCTCATTTCTTGTTTTTTTGGTACCTGGGATAGAACTCGGGACCTTGTGCTTGCAAGGCAGTTGGTGGAACTACTGAGTTAAATCCCTGGCCCTCATTTCCTTCTTTTGTCTCTTCTGTAGCTATTTCTGTTGTGGGTACTGTGGGAATAGCGTGTACTTCCTTAGAGTTATAGCAGCTACAGTTGGCTGCTTTGAAATGATACCAACTTGACTTATCTGCATTAAAAAACTTATCCTTTACAGGTCCACCCCTTACCTTTTGTTATTGAAGTTACAGGTTACAACTTGGTATGCTGTAGTGTACTCATTGACATAGATGTATAATTACTTCTTAGGAATTTTCATTTTAAAATCCTTTAGAAAATAAAAAATGGAGAGCTGGGGATTTCGCTGAGCGGCATTCCATCTGCCTCCGCAAGTGCAAGGTCCTGAGTTTGATCCCCAGTACCAAAAAAAAAAAAAAAAAAAAAAAAGAAAGAAAAAAGAAAAAGAAAATAAGAAGTGGAGCTACAAATCAAAGTGACAGTAACACTTTTTTATATTTGCTCAAGTAAAGTATTTACTTT